CCCTAAAGAAAACTGTGAGTCAATTAATGTATTTGAAAATTCACGTAACTTAATTTTAACATTACAAGAATTATAGTAAGTTAATTTCCTAAGTTTAAAACAGTGAATTACAAATAATACAATTAATAATTTACGAAAATAGACACAACAATTAAGAATTTAAATAAACCAAATAATGCACATAAAACCAATTTAATTCAAATTTCAAATAACCAATTAAACAAATGAAAAATAATAAAATAAATAAAAATACGATAAAGAGAATAAAATAAATAAAAATGCAATACAATAAATATTAAAAATGCCGAGACTATCCTTTTAAAATTAGGGGTATTACATTCTTCCCCCCTAACAAAAGGAATTCCGTCCTCAGAATTCGCTATTACATTCTTCCCCCTTAACAAAAGGAATTCTGTCCTCGGAATTCGCTCTTACCTTCTTCCAATATTTCAGGAAACTGCGAGCGAATGACATCCTCCTGTTCCCAAGTGGACTCAGCCTCATTATGATGACTCCACTGCACACGAACTAAAGGGATAACCTTATTACGAAGGATTTGATCCCGACGGTCAACAATATGACATGGTGGCTCTCAATAAGTCGCATCCGGCTGCAACTCAATCTCTCCAACATCGATATGCTGATACCGATCCTCATCTCGCAGAAATTTTCGCAACATGGACATATGGAATACGTTGTGTACGCGGTCCAAATTATCCGGCAGTGCCAACCAATAAGCAACAGCTCCAACTCGATCCGTAATCATGAATGGACCGACAAACCGTGGAGACAACTTCCCTTTCTTCCCAAAGTGCATAACACCCTTCATAGGAGATACTTTGAGAAGAACCTGATCCCCAACTCGAAACTCCAAAGCACGAATGCGACGATCAGCATAGTTCTTCTGCCTACTTTGGGCAGTACGCATGCGATCTCGAATAAGAGCAATCTTTTCAGAGGTATCCTTGATGAACTCAGGACCTAAGAATCGATTCTCTCCAACCTCCATCCAACAAACAAGTGATTGACACGGTAGACCGTATAACGCCTCAAAAGGTGCCATCCCAATAGTCTTCTGGAAACTATTGTTATAAGCAAACTCCACAAGTGGCAAATATTCCTCCCAGTGGCCCTTGAAATCCAGAACACACGACCGAAGCATATCTTCCATAATCTGATTCACCCTCTCAGTCTGTCCATTAGTCTGAGGATGATAAGCAGTACTAAGGTGTAACTCCGTACCTAAAGCCTGCTGAAAACTCTTCCAAAATCCAGATACAAAGCTCGAATCCCTGTCCGATATAATAGACAATGGAATGCCATGCAGCTTCACAATCTCTGAAATGTAAAGCCTCGCCAATTGCTCCGAAGTGTAGTCAGTGCAAATAGGCAAGAAATGAGCTGACTTGGTCAACCTATCCACAATGACCCATATGGAATTATGCCCCTTGAAAGAATTTGGCAACCCTTCCACAAAATCTATAGATATGCTTTCCCATTTCCACTCCGGAATTGGTAGTGGCTGTAGAGCTCCTCGTGGCCTCTGATGATCAATCTTAACCATCTGACAAGTACTACACTGAGAAACAAATAGAGCAATGTCCCTCTTCATACCTGCCCACCAAAACTGCCGCTTCATATCCTGATACATCTTATCGCCTCTTGGATGAACAGAGAACTCAGAGTGGTGAGTCTCAGTCATCACATCCTTCCTCAAATTATCAGTAGAAGGTACCACTAACCGTCCCTTGTACCTTAAACCTCCATCAGCCCCAACATAGTAGAATGGAACCTCTACGAAAGCTATCTCTGCGACCTTGTCGACACACTGCTGATTGGTGAGTTGTGCTTGTAAAACCTTGCGAATGATGGAAGGTGTAACCACCATGTAAGCCATAAAAGCGTCCGATAACTCATCTACATTCTTCAAAGCATTCCACTTAGTAGTGAATAGAGCAGAAAGACTACCAACAGGTCGGCGACTGAGCGCATCCGCCACTACATTCGCTTTCCCTAGATGGTATTGTATAGAAAAATGATAGTCTTTTACAAACTCCAACCACCTGCGCTGTCTCATATTCAGCTCCCGCTGAATGAACAAGTATTGCAAACTCTTGTGATCACTGAATAATCTGAAGGACTCACCCAACAGATAATGCCTCCAAATACGCATGGCAAAGACCACTGCTGCCAACTCCAAATCATGTGTTGGATAATTAAGCTCATGAGGCTTAAGTTTCCAAGATCCATAAGAAATCGGCCGCTCCTCCTGCATCAATACACATCCAAGACCCTGCAACGAAGCATCCGTGTAAATAAGATACTCTATCCTGCTCTGCGGAGTAGCCAGAACTGGTGCAGAAGTCAGCTTCCTTTTCAGCTCATCAAAAGCTCGCTGACAGTGTTTATCCTACACGAACTGTACACCCTTCTTGGTCAGATGAGTGAGTGGTCCTGCTATCTTGGAGAACCCTTGGATGAATCTCCTGTAATATCCTACCAGACCGAGAAAACTCCAAATTTCAGTGGGTGATGTAGGATGTCCCCACTCAACCACCGCTGAAACCTTGGCCGGATCCACTGCTATCCCCTTTTCTGACACCACGTGACCCAGAAATTTCACCTCTCGCCGCCAAAATTCACACTTCTCGAACTTGGCATATAATTGGTGCTCACGAAGCGTCTGCAAGACTACGCAAAGATGTCTAGCATGATCGTCCTCCGACCGAGAATAGATCAAGATGTCATCAATAAAGATAATAACAAACTAATCCAGATAAGCCCGGAAGACTCTATTCATTAAGTCCATGAACACTGCAGGTGCATTAGTCGTCCCAAACGGCATAACACGAAACTCATAAGAACCATATCTCGTGAGAAATGCTGTCTTAGGAACATTTTGCTCCCTAACCCTCAGCTGATGATACCCAGAACATAGATCAATCTTGGAGAAGTATGTGGCTCCCCTTAACTGATCAAACAAGTCATCAATCCTGGGCAAAGGATACTTGTTACGAATCGTAACCTTGTTCAACTCCCTGTAATCTATATACAGACGAAGCGAACCATTCTTCTTCTTCACAAACAGAACCGGTGCTCCCCAAGGTGATATACTCCTATGAATAAAACCCTGGCTGAGTAACTGCTGAATCTGATCCCTCAGCTCTCTCATCTCCACCGGTGCCATCCTATAGGGTACCCTAGCAATAGGCGCAGTGCCTGGAGCTAAGTTTATCACAAAATCAATTTCTCGACTAGGTGGCAACCCTGGAATCTCCTGAAATATATCCGGGAAATCCTATACAATCGATATGTTATCCAATGACACAGTAATCCCCTCCTCATTTCCCTCCCCACATGGAACAAATAGGTGCTACCGCCCCCTTTAGAATGTGGCATAGCTACTACATACATATCCTGACCAGGTATGGTAAAAATAATAGATCTATCAAAACAATCAACTTAAGCATGGTAGTGAGACAACCAATCCATCCCAAGTATCACATCATAAGTGTGCATGTCCAGGACTAGTAGATTGGCTAGAAATCTGAGTCTACCAATATCTAATGTCACAGGCCCATCACTCTCATGTAAAATAGCCGTATCACCCAATGGTGTAGAAATACCCTGAGGTCTAGTGCATACCCTCGTCCTCATCCTAGATAAAGCAACAAAAGTCCTAGCTACAAATGAGTGTGTAGCACCTGTATCAAATAAAATACGTCCATGCAAACCATGAATAGGAAACTTACCCTCAATAGTCTGAGGTGCCTGAACATCCTGTGGCATGGGGTTATACACCCTGCCATAGTGCAACTGCTGTGGTGCCTGTCCCTGAGTCTGCGGCGATGCCGGTAAAGCCAGATGTGTCTGTCCCTGAATCCGTGGAACCTGTGGAGCTGGTAGAGGCACTGGCGCCCTCTGTCCCTGCTGCACATACTGTCCCTGTCCCTGTCCTGCTTTAGGACACTGCCTGGTGGTATGACCATACTCTCCACAAGTGTAACAACTACCCTGGAAAGTACCAAATGGCCTCCTCTGTCGGTTAGCCTGTGGCTGACCCTGTCCTGCCTGTGGTCCCCCATTCTGTTGCCTCTGAATAGGTGACCCTGTCCTGCCTGTGGTCCCCCATTCTGTGGCATGCCTATTTGCTAAATGTTTACGTGAAATTATTTGCATGATTAATAAGATGGTTATATTTGTTTAAAGCATACCTAAATGTATGACGTTAAATGTTTATGTGTAACTGATTATATGACTAAGTTTACTTGAGACATGCTTGATTCGTTATGTGGTTATTTGTTAACTGTTACTGTTGATGAAAGCATGCTTAGTTGACTACATGCTTAACTGTTAAATGTTTAGTATTATTAAAAGCATGTTTTACGAGTTCCTATTACAATTAGTTGAGCATGATAGTTATGAATCCTGTTTTAGGATGTGGTTGCACGTTTAGGTTCATGTTGTGGTTGTTCATCTACTAAGGAGTGGATGTATGCATGATTTGTTGGTTTCGTTGTTAACGGGTTTGGGTGTTCGAGATAGTGTTATATGTTGAGTTGTGGAAGGTTTTGATTCACGTAAGTGAGGGGCTTGATGACTTCTATGTTTCTGAATGTTTAGTTCCGATCGAACGAATAGTGTGAGCACCGTAGCTCGTGGATTGAGCTACTTTATGTATCCTTGTTGATCGTTTGGTTGTCATTGTAGAACCGTGTTTAAAGACTACGTGAAGTGATGGATCCGGATGAAGTTGGATAGCGAACAGATGAAGAGCCATCCCAACCAAATAGGATTTTGATGGGACATGACTGAGGAAGAGAGGTAGATGATAATCCACAAGTACCGGGGGACGAAGTTCTGGTGACAAGGGCTGTAGCTTCAACCTTTCAGAAATTTGCAAGTACCACAGTTCCTCAAGCGGTACCGCAACTGGCTTTTCAGCCACAGAGGACGGAGATGGAGCAGAATTTTGAGTATTTGCTTTAATTTACAAGCTCATGAAAGTAACATTTGAAGGAGGTCCAGATCCATTGGTGGCGGACGATTGGTTGGATGAAGTTGAAAAGTATTTCAGGGCAATAACAGTGCCTGGTGATCTGTTGAAGATCACTTTAGCTACATACAAGTTTGTTAGTAACGCGGCAGTATGGTGGAAGACCATGACTAACGCGTATGATATTGACAGTATGAGTTGGGACACATTCAAGAGTCTTTTCTTTGAAAAGTATTTCCCGCAGACTAAGAGTCGAGAATTGAGGATCCAGTTTGATAGTCTCAAGAAAGGTGACATGTCAGTAATAGAGTATGAGAATAAGTTCACTTCTCTCTCACGTTTCGCTACGGATGTGTTAGGGAATGAGGAGGAGAAGGCATGGCGTTTTGTGTATGGCCTAAATCGTTCTATTAGGCCGGGGTTGACACTTTTGGGATTAAAGGAATATTCGGAAGCGGTCACGAGAGCATTAATGGTAGAAGCAGAAGCCAAGAATTGGCAAGAGAGGAGTGGTACCGTGGGATCTCAAGAACGAGGTACAAGTATGGGTACTTTTTCCAGGAGTCGGGACAGGAGGAGGCACAAGGATGTTTCATTGTTTACTCAGGAGCAGCGGACGGCAAGTGCTAATCCTATCGTTGGTGTTTCTTCAGAGCCTTTTAGGACAAGCTTAGTGTGTTATCACTGTAAGCAGCCAGGACACTGCAAGGCGGAGTGTCCTCTTGATAAACCTAGTTCCAGAGTTTACTTTCGGTGTGGTCAGTCGGGCCACATGAAGAGGGATTGTCTACAGAGGAGATGAGATATTATTGTGATTGATTCTTGTGTAATGGGGATACCTGTGAGATTAGGCAGTTGCCTGTGCATAGTTGTGCTAGATGTAACGGGGGTTACCTGTGAATTTTGTAACGGGGGTTACCTATGACTATTGTAACGGGGGATACCTGTGAGTCATGTCAGTTGTAACGGGGGACACCTGTGAGCCGGTATGTGTCGTAATAGGGGATACCTGTGAGTCGTGTCGTGTTGTAACGGGGGCTACCTGTTAGTCATGTCGTGTTGCATTGAGTCGTGTTGAGTTGCACGGTGGTTGTCAATCGTGTTGTATGATTGTCGGTGAGTTGTGTTGCATAGTTACCTGGGAGTCATGTTGCATTATCATATGCGCATCTTATCATGTTGTTGTCAGTGCATTGTGTCCTGTTATGTTATAATGGGGGCTACCTGTGAGTCGTATCGTGTTGTAACAGGGGATACCTGTGAGTCTGGTACAGTAACGGGGGTTACCTGTGATTGTGTAGCGGGGGATTCCTGCGAGTTCTGTAACGGGGGTTACCTGTGATTATGTAGCGGGGGATACCTGCGAGATTGGGTGTGACAGGAGGTACTTGCACACAGTTGTTCTAGTAATGGGGGCTACTCGTGAGTTTGGACTAGTACCCATGCACCTTGTGTAGTGTTGGTTCATTTGTGTCAGGATGGTGGATATATTCCGTAGTGTGGTTCCGGACCGGGTGATGTTGATGACGCTTAGTGTGAGCACTTGGGGCATGATATAGATCGAGAAATTTTGTATAAGTTTTAAGTTATAATGATGTACCAGTTGTAACTGTTATATATTAAGGCAATGATGTAATTGTAAGACTGTATGAGTATTCCAGACAGTTTTATTGGATAATGATGTGTATTTTGTAAGTAGTTGAGCTCTTATGTAATGGTTTTAATGATGGATTAATGACAGAAGAGTTTTCAGCCATGTTACTCTAAAAGGTTATTGATGAGGTTGTTTAGTGTCACGTAGTTGTTTCTAGGAATGAAGGGCATAGATTTTTACCTATAAAGTTCTTCTTTGAGCAGGACATGACGCGAAGTTCTAGGATTCATTGTTTAGCCCTAGTACTTTTAGAAGGGGCACTGTGCTTGTTTGTTTATGGATGTTAAGTGTACAAGTTACGGATCGAGTTGGTTCGTCTCTGTTTAGTTCCTCTTTCTTGGCATAGCTTATGCAAGGTATAGATAGATATGTGTTTTGTTCTGTTGCAGTAGAGGGACTTAATCTTCCTTCTTCTTGTGTTGGTCCTGGCAAGGACTTTCTTGTCTGTGAGTTTTGTATCTCCACATAGGGGTTGTGCGTTTTAGCAAATAGAAGGACTTTGTAGAGTTCCCTCTTTTATTAGGGATCCCGAGTGAAGGTTTGATCTAGATCGTTCGACTTACCTCCACGGTAGGAGGTGAAGTCCTTGGTTTTGTGGGAATTATTCTAAGAAGTTATGACCAATGTGATGTAAAACGTGACTTGTTACTAGTGTGTACGTTTTTTTAGCGCCTTGGAGCTAGCTGTGGCGCTTAGCAGTTGTGATTTGACTCATGTGTTAAGGGTGGTTGGATTGTGTGTCTAGAGTTAGACGTGGAAGTTGGTGCGTAGGTGTACTTGAGGATTGGACCTGAGGACAAGAACGACGTTGGCGTTGAGGTCGGATGGAAGATGGGAATGGCCTGGCCAACCATTTCCCTGAGTCAGTCTTTCTTTAACACAATGTCGGGTTAAATGTCAATGATTATTGATTTTAATATGCTTAGCGACCGTTAGAGTACGGTGTTGTGCGTTGCGTACGTGTAGTAGTACGGTGTTAAACTATGACGTAGTTACTGAAGGCAGTAGTTGTCAGAGATGGTTTTAAGGGTATCTTGGGATAGTGATTGAACTAGTATGTTGATTCATTGAGCGGTTTTGTAACCATTGTTCTGTGGGCCTTAGAGCATTTAGTGCGGACTGTGTAAGGCGCTGCTGGTTGGACCTACTGTGTATAGGATCCAACAGTTTTCTGGTGGATTGTCTCGTGTGGACAGTGTTAGTGTAATTTTATAAATCGGGTTGGTTTTGGCCAGGGTTGAGTGTTTCCCTTGATCTCACGTGCGGAAGTCGATGGCTGAGTGACGTGGTGACTTGGATGGAAGATTTCTTTTCGTGATGCGGGTGTTGTGTGGGTTGACTGAAGTCGTGGTTTAAGGATTTAGTATCGACTGGTGGTACGTTTTAGTTAGAAGGATGAGAATCCTACTGGTTCTCAAAGGTCAGGACTCAGTGGAGTCACAAATTTGGTTGGGGGCTTGTGCCTCGGGTGAATGCATGTGGCAGTTGATAATTTTGTTCGGCATAGGGTGTGCCCTTATACCAGTTTGCATTAAGGGGGACGAGATTACGTGTGGCAGTGGTCACTGTTCAGTCGAGATTGTGTTGGGTCATAAACGTAGGGTTGCGAGTGACATGGGACGTTGGACTTTTCGTGTTGGGGTTTCAAAGTATAGTGTGTTACACGGGGTTCACGGAGACGTACTTCGATTTTGTGTCTTTTAGTCTTTCACTCGTGAGGTGGGTTGATTTCGGGGACGAAATCTTTTGAAGTTGGGGAGATTGTAACGTTACCGATTTTTCCTATTTTCTAATTTCTGGAATTTATTTGATTTTTTTGGAATATTTTAATCCTTGCCTTGTTTTGCGTGCCACATGGGCCCCGAGGGGTGTTATCGGTATTTCATATGTGTAGTTGTATATTTATACATGTATGTATGTTGTATTAGTGGTATTGATTGGAGGAGGATATTTTATGGCATGGTTGGTAATATAAAGAAGATTAAGGGGCATTATTGTCATTTTGACTCTTGGATCCACCTAGAGAATTCTAGAGACAATGAGGTGTCTCCATTTGGCCCATTTCTTTCCTTCTTCCCCTCATTTTCGGACACCCCACAAGTTCTCTTTCTCTATATTCTTTTTCTCTCTACATTGCTCTTTCCCTTCTCTCAAAAATTTGTTCATGCTAGAGAGGATTTGGTTTAAGCCATAGTTGGCAAATTGTAGAGTATTGCAAGGGCTACGTTTTGGTACGGGTATTGCAAGCTTTTGGTGGGATTTGAGTTTGGAGCTTGGAGCTTGAGTTTCTATCTTGAGGTAGGGGAAGTCTAACTTACAAATTTCTTTGGTTTTAGTGAGTTTCTATATGCCTCCTTGCATGATAATTTTAAGGTTGTGAAGCATGCTTATTATTATTATTTTTTTAAAATTTTGGTTGTGATGTTAAGCATGAATTGTGATGACTTAATTGTTGAAGGATGAGAAAATGATGGTTTCTTGTTTTTGTGCCAAGCATGCTACTTTTCTATAAGAAAATGTAAAAGTATGGTCTATGTCATCAATTTCTGGGTTTGGATGTTTGATATGATAACTTAAATGTAAATTATGACTTGTATAATGTTGAATGGTTGTATGACATGCATATTCATGGCATGAGGGTGAGTTGGGAAGATGAATGTTAATGTGGAAAGAAAGAAGGAGACATTGCATTTCATATTTGATGGTACAACTTGTGAAATTGTGAATTCCATGAATGTTGAAATGATTTAATCCCATGATCCCTTTTCTTTGATTCCCATTCTTTGGTTGTGGCTCACAGGATTTTTAGGAATGTGATTTAGGCTTACTCTACTGAGATATTGAGCTCACCCTATTAATATTAATATTTTTCAAGAATGCGGGGACGAGCCGGTAATTGATGACGTCCATGAACATTGATGTAGTTTGGAATTCACTTCCATTTTGTTTATATTAAAGCTTTGTAAATATTGGCCATGGAGGCCTTGTTCTTGTATTTAATCCTTTAGAAATTGTATAAAAATGAGACTTATGTATTTCGGTCTTTAAAGGATGTATTGGACTTGTATTTGGAGATGCAATTAAATATAATCTCACAAAATCCTTCTTGGTGCATTTGTTTGGAACGTGTTACGTATCATTCAAAATATTTATTACTAATATTTTTATCGTATTGGGTATTAAATTATATATAAATACGGACACGTGCAATGGTAGTAATTGGGTGATTGGTTACCAAAGTTGGTGTATATGGGACAGTGAAAATTTCGAGTGTGGATAACCCAAAACCAGTCGACGTATAGCGTGAACCAGTCGACGTATAGCTTGAACCTGTCGACGTGTAGCTTCCCACACGTTGACCGGTATCTTGACAGTGAGTTTTTCATTGTACACGTCCCAAACCAGTCGACGTGAATACCCCACACATCGACCGGTATCTTGGCAGTGAGCCAATTACTGTGCGTGACCCAAATCAGTCGACGTATAATGTGTACACGTTGACCGGTTCTTATTCCATATATTTTTTATTCAGTTTCCCTAATTATTCTTTTATTTAAAGTTATGAGTATTTATTTTATGACCCAATAAAATTCAGTAATTACATTTTAACCACAGAAAAGGACTATATTGCCCCGAATTTTTATCTTATTTATTATGTGATACAAGTAAATGACTATTATATCCTTGGGGTCTCAAACCAATATGAGTGTAATGAATGACCATCTCGTCCTTGTTGGACTCTAATATATGAATTTGACGTGAAAGGACCATAATACCCTTGGATGATTTTGGGTCGTGTAAGAACCTGTTTAATGATCCGGATCCAGTGGATTTGGGTCGTTACACGCACCCTTTGGAATAAGCTTGAGCAGTTGTATGCCCGGAAGACTGGAAATAACAAGATGTTTTTGATAAAACACTTGATGACTTTGAGGTACCAAGATGGGACTCCAATAATAGATCACTTGAGCACTTTCCAAGGAATAATTAATCAGCTGGTTGGAATGGGTATTAAGTTTGATGCTAAGGTATAGGGGTTATGTCTACTTGGTACATTGCCGGACTCATGGGAGACCTTCAGAATGTCATTTTCTAATTCAGCTCCAGATGGCTTAATCAATAAGGATCTGGCTAAGAGTAATGTTTTG